ATATTGAAATTTGTCATAATGTTTTATCCAGTGCCCTGTACTTTGTCTTCCCTTAGCTCTTGCAGTGCGCTAGACAGCGTACAGATAGAGGGAGGCGTGGATCCTCAGCCAAGAGGGTTTACATGCTGAAAACATGGGCTCCCAGGCAGAAGTGCAAGGAATGAACAAATAACAACAACAACAAAAAAGAAAACCTGACATACACACACATCACATTTCATCAAAAATAAGGCTTTTCCTACAGAAGTCTCCAACAACAGATACAAATGACTTCCTGTCACTCAAAGAAAAAAGCAACCAAGCCACTGGTCAATCTCTACGCATTCTACTGAGCAGTTAGAAGAAATTTCTCTGAATAGGTATTTCACTTTACATCTCTAATTGGTTAATACTGAGTAAGCATCTTCACTCTTGACACTACTACCTATGTTCAGGTACTACCTAAATATACCTCTTGCATGCCTAAAATTGTCAGTTTCATCACATTCCTCTACAAATGTTACAATCAACTTTTCACTAATGCCCCTTGTGATTTTAGCATTTAAAATGTTGCTTTTCCAAATATTATAATGACAGTATTCAACTTTTAGACTTTCTGATGTCTGGTTAAAATAGTTTGAACAGCAACTTAATGGCAAATAAACAGAGCTGACTGTGAACACGAAAAGATCAGGGGAGAAAAAATGTTCTAAAAAATCACAGAATGCACAAGCAGCTCAAGAAAGTGCAACACAGCAAAACCCATGAAAACACGATGTAAATACATGAACACAGAGGCCAACTTTGTTTTTTTTTTTTCATGTACATTCACTGATCTTAGCAACAACGAATGAATAATTTTAAGACTGCAGAAGCACGAACTCATTATCCAACTTTTTACTTTGTTTCAACCCACGAATAAATATAAACAAATATATTTAGCGTATTCACCTTTTGCTAGTAAAACAGTATGGGTCAGCTATATTCAGAATTTCAGCTGAGATCTGCAAAGAGTAGTTATTCGATGTCATTTTCTGATCTATTTAACAAATACTCTATATAAATGTTTTTATGTAACCAAGTAAACAGAGGAAAGATATTCCGCAGCCCCAGTTGCAGGCAGCTCTCTATTCTTCTTCACTGAAGGCAAAAATACTCCGTCTTCAAAAATAACCAGGGGTTCCTTAGTGTTAGATTTTCCCAAATAATTGAACACAACAGCTTTCACTTAAGAGTGCCTAAAAAGAAAAAAGGAAGGCTAAAAAATAACTCCAGTGCTATGCATTACCCATAATTGTTCCTAAAATCCAGCTACGGTTGGCAGCTCCCAGCACACAGTTAACATGACTGACCTTGTTGAAATCTCCCTGGGTAAGTAAGATAGCTCTAAAAAAGGAACACCAGACCCTCACGACTAATTGCTAACTATTAATAAATAAGCGTATTTCTCCTCCTCTCCCAGGCATACCTATAAATAAATATAGTTGCCCGAAAGCTTTACCAGGAATGGAAATCAGAGTATTTCATGATATAACAGGGGCAGGAATAAGTGACAGCCACAAACTACTGAGGAAGGGAATAACCAAACCTGGAATGCAACACAGACCAAAGCAGACGCAATCCCCAGTCCGCTGAGTCTACGGCTACAGCAACAAAGGCCTGATTGTAACGGAGCCTCACAACAACGGAGCCATCTAACCACAAGCGCGTCAAACTGTCTTTACCGTGTAAAATTTGGCTTGAAGTCACAACTCACATAAGTATGTGAGGCCTGGGGGCAGGGGGAAGAGACAGATCAGGCTACAGCAAACAAAGAGCAGGAGGCATCTCGATGTTCACTAAGATGAGGTGACGTTTCTCACACAGGAGGCTCTATCACACACGCAACTTTCCTTCCTCTCTCATCTTTTGAGGAATGACTTTAGCTGTGGGGTTTTCAGTAGCCAGGGGCTTCTGGGACCAGAGAAAGCTTCCCCACATGGTTAGATCACTGTTTCCTTCAAACTGTTGCTATGCCAGTAAAATTAAGTTCCTTTTGTGCTGGAGATTTCTCCATGTGCATAGCCCTATGGAACTAAACAGGTTCTTTCAGGTTTCCACACCCAGGATATCCCAGAAAACTACAAGCCTGCAGTCAAACACCAGCAGTTAGCACTGCAGATGTGCTCCAATTTCCATGGCCATACACTTGTCCCATAATAACCTGAATAACTCCAGGAATCCCTGGCAAGGAGCTCTAGGGGAATTCAGTCTCACAGGCACAAAAAGGAGTGCTGTGAGATCCAGGTGAGGACTTTGAGCCCATAAGCATCTTAGCCTGCACAGAAGCAAGACCACAGGTCAATCGCAACACCTTCTAGATGTTTATACCCCAAAAAGGATCAACCAAAAAAAAAACCCAAAACAAAGAAAAAAGAAAAAACACCACACATCATCTCAATATAGTCAGCAAAACACTGCAAGCTATATCAAAGACCGTAAACTTCATGTCAACCCAGCCACAAGTCAAATCAACACAGCATCTTACCCAAAGAAATACCTCTCCATTGCTGAATATGGCCCCCAAATACTATCTGAATTTGTGTCACACTAACAGAAACCTGTAACTACACCATCACTTCTTCCAGACAGAAATTCAGGAGGTGCTTATAAAAATATCAGATAGTTTTGAAACACTGATGCTGTAGCTAAAAAGTTATCGTATCCTTGGTCAAAGCTTGAGAAATGCTTTCAACTACGCAGAAAATCGCTAGTGAGTAAAAGTGCAACACTTCCTCAGCAGCTCCAGTTTAACTAGACCCACTCTTATTAGCTACGTAGCCCACTACTGTCAGTACAGCACACTCTGCCAGAAAAAAACACCCTTGTTCACAAAAAATAGCATCATTCTAGTCTGAATTAGCAAGAGAAGACAAGCAACTGCATTTTGCATTAGCCATTGTTGGTAACAATGAACAGGGCACTTTTTATTTAAGACCTGACTACAAAAAAAAAAAAATATTAATGTTTGGCTTACTAATTCTTCATATGTTCCATTTTAAATTCTAGATAAATGCTATTTACAGTATTTACCTAGGAGTGAACAGCTCAAAAATCATCACAGAACAGAACTCTTGAAGACAAGAATTACCTTGCTAAAAAAAGTCAGTTCAAAAGCCGCTTTAAAAAAAAAAAAAGGCAAGTTCACCAAAAGCAAATAAGCTAACTGTCTGGCAGTGGTCAAACAGCTAACTTCTGGACTTTGTTTTTTGGGGTTTGTTTCATCGAACGGAGGTAAGTTTCCGTACTTCTTTTGATTTGAAAAAGTTATTTCTAAAAAAAACAACAAAAAAAAAAACCACAATTTTTAGGTGTTTGATTGAAAGAAAAAAAAAAAAGGTTCCTGAAGAAAAAGTCTCGGTTTTACATTGAACATTAAAATGGACTAATTCAGACCACTTATTTCTGCCATACTCTACATTTTTCGAAGATGTTTTTATTGTTGTACAATAGGCATGCATCACTATCTGAAAAACCAATCTGCCCACCGAGAGCTGGCATCTCCCACCAGTTATTTACGTCATTCTTCTCGAATACATCTCCAAGGCATCAGAGTACTAACTACAGGCAGCAGATATCAACAGCCAAATACTTTATCCCAGAGCTTGACCAGTTCAGAGATGATCATGGCACATGTAGGAAAACAAATGGCATAAGCTCCCCTCCAATCACTTGTTTTATAAAAGTAACATTGAGAATTAAATATAATATTCATAATGTAAAACACAGAATATTGGTCTTCGGTCAAACATAAAATCTGGTGGTTGTGAACTACACAGTAAATAACCATTTCAGGTTAAAAATAAACTATGAAACATTGTGCTAATAAAGCTGTTAGCCGGCTATTAAAGTGTCAATGTTAATGTCCAGAGATGAAAGCGTAACCATAAAGAAAAATTTTCCACATCTCGTTTCTTTATTACAGTCTTGTCATGCAGGCAGTGACATAAGATGACGCTGTGCACCAAAGAGGTTGAAAGCTCACCTAGAAACTGAAAAACAACAGCAGAAACAAAAGTACCAGCAGTCTTTAATTTATTCCTTCACATTTCAAAGGACACGTGTATGCATTAGTCAGAAGATCCACCTCCCAAGTACAGCCAGCCCTCAAATTATTCTGCATAACACTAATTGAGGGTCCAGCTAAAGAGTTACCTGCTCAAGGAACCTGCGAGTAAAATAAATCATGCAAGAAAGCAAGCCAAGCATGCTTAAGTATAATAAAGCCTTTTTAAATGATTAGCAGGTTTACTCTTTAATCTGGCAAGGTAACAAACTTTCAGCACCCAAGAGAAAAAACACAATGAAGGAAAAGCATTATACAAATATTCCACATGCCAAAGCAAAAGGCTTATTTCATTGGAACAATGCACTCCTGTTTAAACCAATACCAATGAGAGGGGGGAAAAAAAAAAAAAAAGATCTTTCTGTGGAAGTTATTTATATGTTAACGCATAACTTCACAGCACGTTTGTATGGAATCCTCCTCTCACAAAGGCTGCTTGGACGGTCCCTCACTGGCACCGGCCCCTTGATGCACACGTTCACGCTCAGGAGGGCTGGCTGGGAGCATCCATCTGGCCCTACAGGAAAACATGAGCCTGCTTTCCAAATCTGCCTCAGTCCTGACCCAGCTACTGCCAAGTGCTGACCACAGACACGCAGCCTCATCAGCACCACGGTGCTGAGACGGAGGAGTGAGGGCTGCTCTAAGTGCGTGCCGCTTCTAATCCAGGGACGCTTTCACCTCTGAAAGCATTCCTAACTTCACGCCAACTCCAACAAAGCCTGTGAAAACACTTTATGTAACAAAAGATGATCACGCTGAAACGTAGTCCTACAAGAAAACAGAAGTACGTTGCCTAAATCTTAAATCCCTCGTCTAATTCATAGCTATTTCCCCTTTGATTGATTCCCTGTGGAGCGGGATCTGCGACAGCCATATACGATGGGTATTCAGAAAGCGCTCGCAGGGTCCAAACCGATTTGACAAAACCGAGGTTCCACCTGCCTTCGAAGAAAAGCCCGAAGACACCCAGCACCGCAGATTCCAGGGGGCAGGAACGGGGCACCCCGCGGGCGCAGCCCACGACCCAGCGCCCGCTTCGTCCCCACCTTCCCTCTCCCACCAAAGAGCTGGACGCAGGGGCTGGCTTCCCAAAAGCCTCCTTCACACATGGCCGAGGCTTTCCGCAGCTCTGTCAACATCGTAACCAAACCTCGCAGCGGAGCAGGAAGCTTCCACAGGCGGGGGAGGGCGAGGAACAAACGCACGCACCAGGGATGAGGGGTGGGAGGAAGGGATGGACGGACGGATGGAGGGGCCGCTATTCGACTCTCCGAGCGGGAGCCCAGCGTTTTAATCCCATCGCCGTTAAGCAGGATTAAGAGTTCTTGCTTACTTGAGCCAGTTTATAAAGTTTTTGCTTAACTCACAAAACTGAAGTTTTTTTCGGCCAGAGAGCGACTTGTGCTTGAAAAGCTGGAAGTTAACTTATTGTATCTGCCTGAGGGAGAACACTCACTGTCTCTGTGCAAGCAGACTGGCCAGCACGACCACAGAAGAAGGGGATCTAGCCCTGCGGAGACCCCACTGCAAACCCCGGCTCCCCGAGCCAGCTGCTCTCACACAGCCCAGTGCAAAGCTCACCTCACCCCCATCCTCGAGCCCAAAATAAAACCCCCTAAAACGCACAACGCGAAGCACGCACAAGTGCACTAACGGGCAAGGAGACAAGTCAGGAGGGAGCGGCAAACCGCCC